CCAATATATGCCCAAAATCACATCAAAATCAACAATATCTAACGGGATAAGGTTAGCTGGCATAACTATATCCTCCACCATCACTGGACATCCTGGATATACACAATCAAAATAACATCTCTCCCCTCTAGGCATAACAAACTCTAAATGATACCCTAGAGGTGTAGGATGAAGTCGCGTCACTTGAGCAAATGTATGAGAAATGACAGAATGCATGGCACCACAATCAATTAAAACTCTAACAAAGTGACCAAGAATGTTTAACGTACCCATGATCAAGTCTGGATGATTCTGAGCATCTTGTAGAGATATATTGTTAACACGTCCATGTGCTTGTTGTCATCCCTCACGACCTCTACTAGCTTGATTATTTCACCCCTGCACACCACGGCCTTGACTTAGTTGACCAGATTGCCTCGAAGATCCTGCACTACTGGAAGCAATCTCTTCTTGCTAGGGCTGTCTTCCCTGGTACTACTGAGATCCCCCAGTTGGAATGAGAGGATACGGCGTATAACCTCTAAAATACTAAGGATACCCACTTTGATAATAAGGATCATGGGAATACTGATACTACCCTGAAACATAAGGAACAGTGTCACCTTGATAATGGTAAGCACCATCACGACCCATCTGACCATAACTACCAGACCTGGAACTTGCTGGATCGGTGTTGGTGGTGGCAAGGAAGGCTACTGGGGCCTCTACTAGTTCTGAGGATAATTTATAGCTCTATGTCCCATCTGCCCCCAAGTAAAACATCCATTGCTGCCTCGCCTACACTCTTCAAAATGCCTATTGTTACATCTGCGACACAGCGGAGCCCTTCCTCTACTAGTATCCCCTTGTCTCCGGAATCTAGGACCCCTAGAAAATCCACCACCTCTTCCTTGACCAGTGGCACTAAAACCCCCGCTAGAGGAACTGGAACTAGCTCAACTTCGCTTAAAGCTCTGAGTTTTGGGAGGTTCTTAAGATGATTGACCTTTATCTTTATCATCTTTCTTCTGATTGCCGTCATATTCTCTGAATCTTCAATCCTCAACAAAATCTCATAGAACTCCTGGTAAGATGCACAAGGAGTAGTGGTCACCATAAAGCGCCACTTCTTCTTAGTACCTAATATGAAACGACGGAGCATTCTCAACCGGATTAGCAGCAACATCCGGATGATAATGAGACAAGTCAATGAATCTCCTATAATACTCATTCGCCATCATCTTCCCCTATCTCAATTGAGTACATTATTGCTTCTTGCGATCAATATACTCAGGGGGAATAAACCTTTTCTGAAACAACCATTTAAACATTTCCCAGTCCGTAATTTCCTCTAGGGTCAACTGATAAACCTCATGTTCCCACCAGGATGCCGGTTCTTGACCTAAGAACCATGTAGTCACTTCGACCCACCTTTCAGAAGGAAGATTCCCTTGACTTTGCATCACTCGGAAAGTCTTTTCAAGATGCTTGAGCCACCGCTCTGCCCCTTTATGTCCTTCATGACCCTTAAACTTATCAAACTTTAAGTTATACATAGTCTCCAGGGGAGTCCTCTGAAGAGGGCGAAGCGAAGACTGAATCGCATGAGATATAGCTTCCCCCAACTGAGCTATGTCGGGGAAACTAGGCTCAGCTAAACGACGTGGCTCTCTACGAGGCGGCAAAGTTCTGATAGAAGACACCAAAATAATTCGAATATTCACAAAATATGCAGGACTGCCAAACCTAGGCTTTGATACCAAATTGACACACCCCGACCGAAATCAAGGTGTGCTGGCCGTCATGTGAGGGTGACGTAGCCATGTGCACAGTGCAGAAGCAATAATAATATAAGAAATGCCAATAAATAAAAACCAAACTAAATAGAGCACTAGATAAGATAAGGTGCAAGATGAAATAAGTGTGAATTCACAACCAGAGCATAAGTTGCCTAAGTGCAGTCCAAAATGACGAATACTAATTATACAACACCAAAGGTAATCCTATAATGGTGATAATCTATCAGAGCTGCCGTGGATTCCTCGCAAGCCACCAAAAGCACTCCTAACTAGAACCTGGAGAGGCGCAAAACAGAAAGTGTAAATGGGCAAAAACAAAGATTTTCAAAACCATTTCAATTACCAAAGATAGTAACCCCTCGCCGTAAAACCTGTATAATTTCCTAGAAAATAGAATACATATCTAGACCACAACCATACTTAGAATAACAAAATTCACAAATATGCCATGTTGAATATCTCAGCATAAAAATATGTAAGCCAGGTGATATAAATCAATGCAAATGATATGTCAGCCAGAGTCACCTAACGTGACCTGTACGACTAAATCTAGAGCTCATCCATCTAGCCGGAGTCACCTAACGTGACCTGTATGGCTCAAATCCACATCTCAACAAATATACCTGCACACGAGTTGGAACCACCTAAAGTGGTCTGTACGACAGGACTGGGTGTAAATAAATACGCTTAAGACCTACAATCACGTGAAGACTATGCAAATAATCACGGGTCACCTACGAGTCGGAACCACCTATAATGGTTTGTACGATAGGACTGTGCACCTAACTTGGATCCAAGATGAGCATATGGTGCGGGAGGTGAACATCACGTGAAGAACTGTGCCCTAACCACGGGTGGGAGCACTAACGCTGGGGTGCAGGTTTATGAGCTTTCAACACATCTCACATAATCATCAATTCACATAAACAATCTATGACTCACCTGGTACTTACCTGAGCGTCCACCATGTCAAAACACAATATGCATATATCATACAAATTCATAGTCTAAGCATAAATCAATAGGCATGGCATTTCAAACATAATTTCATTTAAATCGATTTTATGGGAAAAATCTCAAGTATATAGGTATCTACAGAAACCAAAAGCCCACTCACTGGTATGTGGAAAGGTCGTAGCCCCCAAGCCTCGATTGACTGCGCTCGTCCTGAGGATAGGTCTCACCTATATGCAAAACAACTATATAAACGTTAATTTAAAGCACATAAAAGAAACTAGCTAATAACTTCTCATACATTGCTCAAATGGGGTGTTTGAATATACCAACGTGATCTACTTAACACTACAAACATCGCCATATTTTAAAATAATTTTTGGACCACCCACACGCTGGTAAGGGCACTGCCAGATGCGCCCCCACGCGCGGCCAACTCTAACGGAAACTTAAATGTCGTTAGGAATATTCTGTTAAACATACCTGACGCCGTTAATCGCCGTTAGGAATATTCCGTTAAAGTTGACGGAATATTCTTATTTCTTCTCTGGTGGATCACCGGACTCCGCCGCTGGCCGCCGTCTGTGTCACCGGAAACTTGAAAAACTTCAAAGCTTGATAACTCACTCATTTCAACACCAAAATTCTTGAACTTTTCACAAAATGAAGCTTTCAACTAGGAGAACATGATCTTACCACTTTGGAGCCCGAAAACAAACAGAATCTCATCGAGAAAACCTCGAACACTTCGACAAACTCTGCAACTCGATGAACTCGAGCTTCTCGACGTCCAAAACACTTCAAAATTCTTCTCCGAGCTTCGTGAAGATGTCCTAAAACTTCCTGGAACCTTAAAACTCCCTGAAAAACTTCATGATCATGTTTGCATGAACAATGCACCAAATCGGGAATTCTTGGTTCTCGGGTTTTTGAAGGCTTCACGTCCAACCAAGGGTATGGATGAGTTCCTGGGCTTGCTAGGAGTCCAAAACCAACCTTCAAAGCTTTGATCCATGTATGAAATGATTGGTTCAAGGTTTGTCCGTACAACTGTACGGAATTTGCAGAAAATTCGAAAGGGAGGAGAGAGAAAGTACATGGGTTAAGGGGGTGTGTGTGTGTGAGTGTGGTCCAGTTGGCAACCCAACAAAATCAACAAAATCTTACTTCCAATTAAGTCCAAAAAGTTAGGAAGAAAAATAGATTGGTCCAAAAGCTTAGCCCATTTACACACACAACCACACAACGTTCAAGGGCAAAATCGTCATCTCACGCTATCGAAATAAATTTCAGGACAAGCTATCACAGTAACTGTTGCCCCCAAAATGTCAATTTTGTTAATTCTTATTAGTGAAGAGGATTTTCCAGTTTTACTTTGTTTCATGCAGATTAATTTGCCTGTATTCAAATCTAAGTTGAATCATTTCTATTTTAAACAATTGATGTCGGGAGAGGGGGATCAGCATGCTTTTACCAACTTTGAGTTACATGTCCCTTGAAAATCAATAATTGAATTGTCTCTCTAAGGAAGAAATGCCATAGAGACGTACTGTCGGGCAGAGCAAGGATACTGCTGAACTCTTTACAAGTCCTTTAAAATGGAAGAGGATTTGGTCAAATCTCTCCCATCAAAGGTCCATGATCAAGTGATTTGGACCATTGAAATTTGATCCAACGGCTATATTTATTATAATTTTTAGAGGTCCTCTTGTTTGTAGCTGTTGGATTAAATTTCAACAGCCCGTATCACTTAATCCTAGGTCTTTGATGGGAGAGATCCAGACCGGATCCTCTTCCCCTTAAAATTTAGAAATTGAATTGTCTTCTTTTTTTAATTATTTTTTTTATACAATGATATTGCAGGCATGGGATCTGGGCTACGTCACACACCATAATTTGGCATCAAACTAGAATCGAATTTAAATCCTTCTACTTACAAGTATAGAAAAATATTATTAAACTATAAGGCTAGAGAAATTTATAATTGAATCATTAGCGTTGCATTATAGTCACAATTTTGTGAGTATGACCCATGAGTATATAAAAAAAACAAATGATTACTGAATATTCATGTGTGACCTATGAGTATAGAAAAATGATTACTGAATTTTCGTGTGTGACCTAATAAGTATAAAAAAAATGATTACTGAATTTTCGTGTATGACCTATGAGGCTATGAGTATAAAAAAAAAAAAAATGATTTTCGAGTAAAACACGAATTTACATATTTTTGAAAAAGCTATGTATTATTGTCGGCTGAATTTTATTGGTTTGTTTGGGCGTACCCACCCTCATTTACCCAAAAAAGGGAAAAGAGAAAACAGAAAGCTCTTGTCCTTCTTGAGCTTCTCTGGTAGCATGATCATCTCCTACCTCCTCTTCGTCATCAACTCTTAAGACTGTCGCGCATTCAGATCCTTAGAAATTTGAGCATGGTGGAGAGGAACTATAATTATCAACTTGAGGTTGCGAGTTAGCAAAATTCGATTTGTGAAATCGTCCATTTCACAGTGTCTTTTTGAAGAAACTAGTTGGGACTTCCCTCAACCAGCTTGCCGGCAGGAAGAAAACTCACGGCTTTCGACATCTTACAATACACAACTCTGGTGTGTGCAAGGTACCTTCAAGCTCTCCTGTTGTGAAAACATAGATCTGCTTGTATAACCTTCTTTTTTTCTTTTCCTTTTTCCCCTTTTGGTCAACTGCTTGTGTTATTCGTTTTGAATTGAAATCTTCATGGCGGAGATCCTCTTGCTTTCTTATCTTTAATTTTCTTTTTAATATATTCCGATTAAAACTAAGATCTGAAGTCTTTTTTTCATATTTTTTTTTTTTTTAGTATAATATTCATTAAAGATTGAAATATGTACAAAAAGATGCCGGGTCTCAATAAAAATTTTGTCAGGAAAAAGACTGTACCGTACCGTACCAAGGGAAAAAGACTGTACCACCTCAATAAAAATTTTGTCAGGAAAAAAGACTGTACCGTACCGTACCAAGGGAAAAAGACTGTACCACCTCAATAAAAATTTTGTCAGGTAAAAAGACTGTACCGAAGGAAGGGAAAAAGACTGTACCGTATTAAAATTAATTACTAGTATTATGATCTAATGGTATTCTTCTTCATTTGTACGTGAGATGTCTTAAATTCGAATTTGAATCACATTATTGCTAGCCCATTGTGAAGCTTATCCCACTCCCTAGTGTAGATGATATAGTTTGTACGTGAGATGTCTTAAATTCGATTTTCACCAAATTCGAATTTGAATCACATTATTGCTAGCCCATTATAAGGCTTATCCACTCCCTAGTGTAGATGATATAATTTTTTCAAAAAAAAAAAAAAAAAAAAAAAAAAAACCTTAGATATTTAGGCTAAGAAATTAAAAAACCGAGCATCTAGATCAAAATACCTCCTAAATTATTTGGTGGTTCAGAGTCCTAAATGAGCTCCTCCCCAAAACTTAGAGAGGATTTGAAAAATTACATCTCGAATCAGACCTTCATTCCTAATACAAGTAAGCATACTAGAGCCAAGTTAGACCAAAATTAGACTATTATTATGTTTATCATTTCCTACATATTTCCAAAATTAGACCTGTAATATCATTTGCATCTCAGTGTAAAATCAGATATGTTTGGTACCTGGAAAATATATTCTCAATTTGCATTCCAATTTGTATATAATAACTCTTCTTCATGCATTCACTCCTGCAGATAGACTCTATTAAATAGTTGCAATGAGCACCGAGCAACAGAATGCTTCTTCGTCCTCTTACCGATGCACATATGATGCTTTCTTGAGTTTCAGAGGCACAGATACACGCAAGGGCTTTACAGATCACCTCTACAAGACTTTGGAGTTGGCAGGAATCCACACTTTTAGAGACGATGATGAAATTGAGAGAGGAGCCAACATTGAACAGGAGCTACAGACAGCAATACAAGAGTCACGAGTTTCAGTCATTGTTTTCTCCAAGGACTACGCCTCTTCCAGGTGGTGCCTGAATGAACTTGCTATCATCATGGAACGTAAAAGAACAGATGGACACATGATTGTGCCAGTTTTCTATGATGTGGAACCATCAGATGTCAGGAAGCAGATGGGCAGTTTTGCAGAATCATTTACTAGACATGAAAAGCGATTCAAGGACGAGATGGACAAGGTGGAAGAGTGGAGGCAAGCTCTTAGAGATGTTGCAGACTTGGGAGGGATGGTTTTAAGAGACCGGTAATTTTTCATTCTCTCCTATATTCAGTCAAGTAGATCAGATGCTAGTCTCAAGCTTGTGAAAATTTTAGCTTTTTGTTTTTTTGAAAAAAAATAAATAAATAAAAAATAACTTGCTTGTGTTTTTTCTTTTGGTCTGAAAAGAAAGAACGTATTGTGCCTCATATATTTTGATATCAATAACATATAGGTACGAGTCGCAGTTTATCCAAGATATTGTTGAAATGATTGGAAATAAACTGGACTACATGACGAATAGGAGATTAAGAGTTGATCCCCATGTGATTGGACGAGGTTACTATGTGGAAAGCCTAAACATGTGGCTGGAAGATGGATCAAATGACGTTGGAGTAGCTGTCATCCATGGAATGGGTGGAATAGGCAAGACCACCATTGCTAAAATTGCTTATAACCAGAACTTCTCTAAATTTCAAGCTAGCAGCTTTCTTTCAGATATTAGGGAAACTTCCAAACAAGCCAATGGTTTTGTTCACTTGCAAAGGAACCTTCTTTCAGATATCCAAAAGAGGAAAATGGAAAAAATATACAGCCTTGATGAAGGTATAGTAAAGATCAAACGGGTTGTATGTTGCAAAAGAGTTCTTATTGTTCTTGATGATGTGGAGAACTTGGAACAGTTCAATGCAATTCTTGGAATGCGAGACTGGTTCCATCCTGGAAGTAAAATTATAATAACAACTAGGCATGAACATTTGTTAAAGGCTCATGAAGTTGTAAGGTTTAAGGTTGAAGGATTGCATGAGTATGAATCACTTAAGATTTTCAGTTGGCATGCCTTTGGACAACCCCATCCTCAAGAAGGTTACATGGAGCTTTCAAGACCCATAGTAGAACATTGTGGAGGGGTTCCATTAGCTCTTCAAGTTCTGGGATCTTCTCTATATGGAAAAACAATTGATTTTTGGAAAAATGCATTACACAACTTAGACTTGATTTCTGAGGGGAAAATTCGAAAGATTCTTGGCATAAGTTTTGATTCTTTACAAGATCATGATAAACGTTTATTCCTACATATAGCTTGTTTCTTCGTGGGAAAGGACAAGGATTTTACAACTACAATCCTTGACGAATGTGATTTTTCCACAGAGGTTGGACTTCAACATCTGGTTGACAGATGTCTTGTGGAAATTAATGTCCACAACAAGTTAATGATGCATCAATTACTTCAAGACATGGGAAGGGCAATAATTCGTGAAGAATCACCTGAGGACCCTGGAAGACGCAGTAGACTGTGGCATAAAGATGCATTTAACGTTTTGACAAAATTAACGGTAGGAAACATGATCTTTATCTGTATATATTTGCAATGGTATTCTGCATGTGACTAGTAACTTATCCAATGCTCTTATTTGTTAGCAGGGTACGAGAACTATCAAGGGCCTCATGCTCAACTTTCCCTTAACAGAGTCATCTCCGGTATTAAAAACGAAGGCATTTGCAGAGATGCTCAATCTTGAACTACTTCTGCTTGATAATGTAAAGTTGAGTGGAAGCTATGAAGATTTTCCAAAAAATTTAATATGGCTATCTTGGCTAGGATTCTCTTTAAAATCAATACCAGCCAATTTTTGTTTGGAAAATCTAGTTGTTCTTGACTTACGGAAGAGCAGTCTGCAACATATTTGGAAAGGAACCAGGGTATGTTCTAATCTCTCTCTCTCTCTCTCTCTCTCTCTCTCTCTCAAAATACACACAATTAAAAATAATTTTCTAGTGAAATTTAACTGTGTATTCATTGCAACTAATGACTTCTCTTTGACACAGTTTCTTACAAGATTGAAAATTCTTAATCTCAGTCATTCGCATGGCCTTAGGACAACATCTGACTTGTCCGGACTCCCTAACCTTGAGAAACTAATTCTTAAGGATTGCATTAATTTGATTGATGTTGATGAATCCATTGGAAACTTGGGGAAGCTTATTTTCTTGAATCTAAAAGACTGCAAAAGTCTTAAGAAGCTTCCAAAAAGAATGAACATGTTGAGCTCTCTTGAGGAACTTATTCTTACTGGTTGCTCAAAGCTTGTTCTTCATGACGGTGCCATGGTGGATCATTTACATTCTACATCTAGGGATATGAATAAACTTAGACTATTATCAATTATATCATGGACACCAATCAGGTATTGGTGGATGTCGGCATGGCCGGGAAAGACTCTTCAATTAACGAGTTTCTCTCTGGCAAGTTTACCCCGTTTTTTGGGAAGCTTAAGTTTGTCTTACTGCAACGTGTCAGAGGTGCCCAATGATCTGTGTACACTATCTTCGTTGAAGCATTTGAATCTAATTGGTAATCCAATTTTGTGCCTACCACAACAAATAAAGAGTCTTATTGTGCTCGAGACTCTTTTGTTAGATAATTGCACAAACCTCGAAATTCTTCCAGAGCTCCCACCAAGGTTGAAGAGGTTAGAAGCAAAATATTGTACATCGTTGAAAAGATTAACAAATTTACCAAACTTATTCAGATCATTGGAATCACTTTTTTGGGGTTGTGAGCATTTAGTTGAAGTTGAAAGCTTGTTGAATATAAAACCGCTGAGAAGCGCTGACATAGAAATGACAAGATATATGGGCCTGTTCAATTTGAAATCCATAGCAAGCACTGATGTCGAAATGATCAACTATTTGACCGGTACAACCAGGATGGCTCCTGTCCAGGTCTTTCTCTATCTCCTCTCTCATGTATGGTTGTTCTAATTATTATATCTATGAACTAGTTGGGCCTAACTGTTTGAATACTTGAATTTGAATCGTACATTCTTGATGAAACAGGTACTCTATGAATGTGGCATATATAGCATTTTCTTTCATGGAAGCAAGACTCCAGATGGATTTAGCTTCACAACAAGATACAGATCTGTGCTGTCAGTTATTGCACCTTCACATCCTAATCCAAAAATCCGAGGCTTGAATTCATGTGTTTTATATGCAAGAGAACCAGGCTTGGTTATTGATGACTATCTTGTTAGTGCTATGCATTTGATTAAGGTCAGTAATCAGACCAAGGGTCTTATGTGGACGTATTCTCCAGTCACAGTAGGTTTTCCAACTGAGAAAGAAGATATGCTATGGCTAAGCCATTTTCGATTTGGAAACAATGAATTGGAGTATGGGGACGAAATACGTGTTTCGGTGGAGATGCATGATTTTCAGATAAAGGAGTTCGGAATCCAGCTTGTGTACGAGCAGGAAAGGTCTCCTTGTAGCCAGAATAATGTTGTTGCTGGAGATGTGTCAATGTCAACATCAGAGTACCAAATGTGGACAGGAAAATACTTTCTCAGTAATCATAGGCACCGTACTCATCAGGCTCAATTCCGAATGAGACAGGAGAATCCAGCACATAATGAATTTTCATTTGGGCCAGAGCATCAGGTTCATAACTTATTCAAGGCCCAAGGACCATTAGAAAATATTGTGAGAGGATGTCTAGCAGATTCCCTATCTGCTTCTCGCCACCTGTTTTGGCGAAAATGAAGAGAAACATTCTCAATTCTTTGTCCAACATCAGTCATTTTCCTTGGTGAGTACCGTCTTTTTGTATGTTGTTGTTCTCTCGTTCTGAATATATACTCGTGGCTTTGTTGGATTTGTTGCTTTTTGCTTATTGTCATAAAGACCAATCAAGGAAACAAAACCGGAACATTCCTCATGAGTTTGCAGATGAAGTTTTAAAACCCCTATAGAGCAAAACCAATCTGAGCGTAACAGCAGAGGGGCAACACATGTTTCTGAAAATATAACAGTTAGTTCCCCCCCAAAGCCTACTCCTTACAAACGAATCTTGGTACCTGCATTGCCTAAACTATTGTTTTAGCTACCATGTTGACAGAAGCAATAACCGTAAACGGACTGTAACAGTTGAGAAATATTCAAGTACCTAAAAAGAGCCAGCTATGTTAGAATAATTATGCTGGACTTGAGTCGTATTTCTCATCTGTTATGGCTTGGTCCTTTTATAGCTGGTATTGGTGCACAAACTCCCTTTTTCTATATTTTCAGGGAATGTCTGCAAAACTTAAATCCTATAGTTCTTTTTCTGCCCTTTTCTACTATAGTACTACTCCTTCAGACAATAATCCTAGTGGCCCAAAATTATATATTCCAACTTTAAATCCCAATTAAGGTGCTATAATTGGTTTTTTTATGTTTATGCTCACTAGAAACCTCATTGATCTACAACGAACAAACAACTACCGTATAGATAGTTGGTGCCTGTAGTATGTCTGGTGGTCTAGATCATGCTTTCTTAATTTTTGCACCACTTACAGCTGGTGCGAGGGACCTCTGCGCATTAACCATGTGCCAGTCTGGGTCCATTTAGTGCGCGTTAACTATGGGCACGACCTAACGAGGGACCTGAGGTATTCAAGAACCCTTACCGAGTACCAGAAAATGTTAATTTTGTAAGTCATAATGTATTACTGTAAACTTTTCTTACAACCCAAATCCATTCATATTAGCAACCTTTTCTTATTCTTTTATGCCTTCAGTTTTGAAATCCCGCAATCAACAAATTATTAAAAACGTGTACATGACACTAATTTCATAAGGATTGCAAAAGCAATCAGATTCGAAAAAACTAAAACAGACAAAAAACGCACAAATAACTTCAAAATGACAAAATCTAGAATAAACTGAAATAACTAAAATCCTAAATTAATCCATAAGCCTAAATCATGACTGCCACCGTGAATTGAAGTTGTGTCATGACAGAACCGATCGCATTCAAGTGATAATAGCCCGTAGAAACAATCAGCGAATCTGTAAAAGATTTGTTCACCACAAAAAACTTATTATTTTACCGTGGCCAAAATAAAAAAGAAGGAGAGTAGAGGACAGTGTGAGATCTTAAGAATTTATTGTCAAAGAAGAAAATTTATTTTCCACTCCGTTTCATTTATTTTTGTTTTTATGTAATTTTACTTGAGCATCGTATGCAGGGTTAATGTCACATCCCGGTCCGGGACGGATCATTTTCTAGGCCCACTCCACCACCGTAGCACGATATTGTCCGCTTTGGGTTTACCATTCCCTCACGGTTTTGTTTGTGGGAACTCATGAGCAACTTCCCAGTGGGTCACCCATCATGGGATTGCTCTAGCCCCTCTTCTCGCTTGACATCGGAGTTCCTACAGAACCCGAAGCCAGTGAGCTCCCAAAATGCCTCGTGCTAGGTAGGGATGAGAATATACATTTAATATACATTTAAGGATCACTCCCCTGCCCGAAGTGGGATGTCACAATCCACCCCCCTTAGGGGCCCGACGTCCTTGTCGGCACACACGCGGCCAGGGTTAGGCTCTGATACCAAATTGTCACATCCCGGCCCAAGACGAATCACTTCCCGTACCCGCTCCACCACCGTAGCACGATATTGTCAGCTTTGGGCTTACCATTCCCTCACGGTTTTGTTTTTGGGAACTCACGAGCAACTTCCCATTGGGTCACACATCATGGGATTGCTCTAGCCCCCTTCTCGCTTAACTTCGGAGTTCCTACGGAACCCGAAGCCAGTGAGCTCCCAAAAGGCCTCGTGCTAAGTAGATATGAGAATATACATTTAAGGATCACTCCCCTGAGCGATGTGGGATGTCAAAGTTAATTTTTGCACCGACTCGAAATCCAGGACGTAACAAAATGGTGTCAAAACATATGTATTAGACAACCTTGGACAACCTGTGGTGTCATTTGAATATTAGCTTTAAAGGAACCAGAGCCTGGCTACTTAGAACTTTGTATTTTAGTGGAATGTTGATTGATTTATGGAATAAGAAGTACAAGATAGTATGCTAATAAACTTGTACAAAGATACCCACAATTTTCTTGGGAGTTTATGTGTGTTCGACTAAGTACTAGATATGAACACACGTAATCAGCCGCTTAAGATTTCGAAATCAACTTGTCAAATTACATGAATCCTAACTCTACATACAACCATGAATTGACTTGGAAATTAGAGTCTGATCAAAGGTGAAGAATCTGGACTTGTCAAGTAATTCAGTGTTTAAAGTAAATCTCGAGGATGAGACTTATTTTAAGAATGATGAATTGTGAGATCCTAAGAATTTATTATCAAAAAAGAGAGATTTATTTTTCACCCCATTTCATTTATTTTTGTTTTATTTAATTTTACTTGTGTATCGGGCACGGATTATTTTTTCCACCGAGTTCGGGTCCAGGCGTGACAAGGACTCAAACAAATGTTCCTTTCATTCTCAAATTTTAAGTTATATTCACTGTGACAACAAACAAGAAAGGATGAGAGAATATGACTCAAGGTAATGTTCATTTCATGCTCAATTTGTGCACTTTTCTTTTAAACCAGTCATGGTCGTCCAATTAGCAGCTGCAAAGTAATAGCTTTACATCCAATTTAACAAAACAAAATTATCTTTTTGCCCTTATGCAGTTGCCATGTGTTGTCTGCATGACCAAAATGGTTGAAAAATTGGATGAAGATTTTCAAAATCCAACTCCCGGGGAAAATTGGCTATTTATAAAAGTCCAGGATAAATCAACTAAAATTAAAGTTCAAGGAGAAATTTTTCCAACAATGGAGTTTACAATTTTCTTTTTCTTGATTCGTGTAGGTTAAACGCTTTTAATTAACATTACTTGAGTTATAAGCACCTTACAAAATTTGCAATTTTTTTTCGTAGTAGTATAAACTAGAAAATATGCCTGCCTTTTGCTGCGAGACTTGAATGCATCAGCCTTAACTACATGAATAAGACACATTTAACCTGAATGAACAAAGGGATAGATGAGTGAATGGGGTCGGTAAGATAAACAACTTGGTTTTTATATACTTTCAACAAGGCTGATATGAAAAGACATTGTACAATTAACAGAATGAAGCTGAATGTTCTTGTTTACAAAAGATGTGGTTGCCAAAAAAAAAAAAAAAAAAGCTCTATTTCCATAAGAAACAGCATCAACATGCAGTTCACACACATTGGTTATTCTAATGTCCATTTAATTGTAGGGTAGACATGAATCATTTTGAGAGAAAGAGACAAATTGTTGACGATGGTAAGTCTTAATGAATCATATTGAAACGGCAGCAGCCTTAGAATAAGCTTCTTCGTCCTCTTACCGGTGCACATATGATGCATTCTTGAGTTTCAGAGGCGCAGATACACGCAAGGGCTTTACAGATCACCTCTACAGTGCTTTGGAGTTGGCAGGAATCCACACTTTTAGAGATGATGATGATGAAATTGAGAGAGGAACAAACATTGAATGGGGGCTACAGACAGCAATACAAGAGTCACGAGTATCAGTCATAGTTTTCTCCAAGGACTACGCCTCTTCCAGGTGGTGCCTGAATGAACTTGCTATCATCATGGAACGTAAAAGAAGAGATGGACACATGGTTATCCCGGTTTTCTATGATGTGGAACCATCAGATGTCAGGAAGGCAGTTTTGCAGAATCATTTACTAGACATGAAGAGCGCTTCAAGGACGAGATAGACAAGGTGGAGGAGTGGAGACGAGCTCTTAGAAATGTTGCAGACCTGGGAGGGATGGTTTTAGGAGAACGGTAATTTTTCATTCCCTCCTATATTCAGTCAAGTAAATCAGATGCTAGTCCCAAGCTTGTGAAAGTTTTAGCTTTTCTTTAAAAAATAAAAATAAAAAATAAATAACTTGCTCATGTTTTTTCTTTTGGTCTGAAAAGAAATAACTTATTGTGCCTCATATTTTTTTATATCAATAACATATAGGTACAAGTCACAGTTTATCCAAGATATTGTCGAAGCGATTGGAAATAAACTGGACTACATGAGGAATAGGAGATTAAGAGTTGATCCCTATTTGATTGGAAGAGGTTATTATGTGGAAAGCCTAAACATGTGGCTGGAAGATGGATCAAATGATATTGGAGTAGCTGTCATCCATGGAATGGGTGGAATAGGCAAGACCACCATTGCTAAAATTGCTTATAACCAAAACTTCTCTAAATTTCAAGCTAGCAGCTTTCTTTCAGATATTAGGGAAACTTCCAAACAAGCCAATGGTTTTGTTCACTTGCAAAGGAACCTTCTTTCAGATATCCAAAAGAGGAAAATGGAAAAAATATACAGCCTTGATGAAGGAATAAAAAAGATCGAACGGGTTGTATGTTGCAAAAGAGTTCTTATTGTTCTTGATGATGTGGAGAACTCAGAACAGTTCAATGAAATTCTTGGAATGCGAGACCGGTTCCATCCTGGAAGTAAAATTATCATAACAACTAGACATCAACATTTGTTAAAGGCTCATGAAGTTTGTGTAAGGTTTAAGGTTGAAGGATTGCTTGTGCATCAATCACTTAAGCTTTTCAGTTTGCATGCCTTCAAACAACCCCATCCTCAAGAAGGTTACATGGAGCATTCAAGACACCTAGTAAAATGTTGTGGAGGGGTTCCATTAGCTCTTCAAGTTCTGGGATCTTCTCTATTTGGAAAAACAGCAAATGTACGGGAAAATGTAGTACGCAAGTTAAAGGAAAATGCAGTACCCACCTTAGACGTAAAATTCAAAAGATTCTATGCATAAGTTTTGATTCTTTACAAGATCATGATAAACGTTTATTCCTCCATATAGCCTGTTTCTTCATAGGAAAACACAAGGATTTTGCAACAGAAGTTGGACTTCAACAGCTAGTTGATAGATGCCTTGAGGAAATTAATGCCCGCAACAAGTTAACCATGCATCAGTTGCTTGAAAACATGGAAAGGGCAATAATTCGTGACGAATCACCTGAGGACCCTGGAAAACGCACTAGACTGTGGCATAAAAAAGAAGCAAGCGACGTTTTGAGAAATTTAACGGTAAGAAACATGATCTTTAACTGTATTTATTTGCATTGGTGTTCTACATGTGACTAGTAACTTATCCAATGCTCTTAGTTGGTGGCAGGGTACGAGAAGTATTAAGGGCCTCATGCTCCACTGTCCCTCAACATTTGAAACAAAGTCATTTACAAAGATGCTCAATCTTGAACTACTTCTGCTTGATAATGTAAAGTTAAGTGGAAGCTATGAAGATTTTCCAAAAAAATTAATATGGTTGTATTGGCGAGGATTCTCTTTAAAATCAATACCAGCTAATTTTTGTATGGAAAATCTAGTTGTTCTTGACTTACGGAACAGCAGCCTGCAACATGTTTGGAACGGAACCAAGGTATCATCTAATCTCTCTCTCTCTCTCTCTCTCTCTCAAAACATGCAAACAAATATAAATTTGAGTGAAATTAAACAGTGTATTCATAGCAACTAATGACTTCTATTTTATACAGATTCGTACAAGATTGAAATTCTTAATCTCAGTCATTCACACGACCTTAGGACAACATCTGACTTGTCCGGACTCCCTAACCTTGAGAAACTAATTCTTAAGGATTGCATTAATTTGGTTGATGTTGATGAATCCATTGGAAACTTGGGGAAACTCTTTTTCTTGAATCTAAAAGACTGCAAAAGTTTTATGAAGCTTCCAAAAAGAATGAACATGTTGAGGTCTCTTGAGGAACTTATTCTTACTGGTTACTCAAAGCTTGGTCCTCATGACAGTGCCACGGTTATTGATTTACACGCTACATCTAGGGATATGAATAAACTTAGACTGTTATCAACTTTATCATCGACACCTATCAGGTATTGGTGGATGTGGGCATGGCCGAGAAAGACTCTTCAATCAACCAGTTTCTCACTGGCAAGTTTACCACGTTTTTTGGGAAGCTTAACTTTGTCTTACTGCAACGTGTCAGAGGTTCTGAATTGTCACATCCCGGTTCGGGTGGGACCACTTCCCGGGCCCGCTCCACCACCGAAGCACGATATTGTCCGCTTTGGGCCCCGACCACGCCCTCACAGTTTTGTTTCTGGGAACTCACACAAGAATTTCCCGATGGGTCACGCATCCTGGAAATGCTCTCGCGCGCTACTCGCTTAACTTCGGAGTTCCCATGGAACCCGAAACCAGTGAGCTCCCAAAAGGCCATGTGCTAAGTAGGGATGGGAATATACATTTAAGGATCACTTCCCTGGACGATGTGGGATGTTACATGAATGATCTATGTACACTATCTTCGTTGAAGTATTTGAATCTAATTGCTAACCCAATTTTGTGCCTACCACAAAAAATGAAGAGTCTTATTATGCTCGAGACTCTTTTGTTAGATAATTGCACAAACCTCGAAATGCTTCCAGAGCTCCCACCAAGGTTGAAGAGGTTAGAAGCAAAATATTGTACATCGTTGAAAAAATTAACAAATTTACGAAACTTGTTCAGATCCTTGGAATCACTTTTTTGGGGTTGTGAGCATTTAGTTGAAGTTGAAAGCTTGTTGAATATAAAACCGCTAAGAAGCGCTGACATAGAAATGACAAGATATATGGGCCTGTTCAATTGAAATCCATAGCAAGCACTGATGTCGAAATGATCAACTACTTGACCGGTACAACCAGGAAGGCTCCTGTCCAAGTCTTTCTCTGTCTCCTCTCGCATGTATGGTTGTTGTAATTATTATATCTATGAACTAGTTGGGCCTAACTGTTTGAATAGTTAATTTTGAATTTTAGATTCTTGATGAAACAGGTACTCTGTGAATGTGGCATATACAGCATTTTCTTTCATGAAAGCAAGATTCCAGATGGATTTTGCTTCACAACAATATATAGATATGTGTTATCTGTTATTGTACCTTCACATCCTATTCTCAAAATCCGAGGCTTGAATTCATGTGTGTTATATGCAAGAGAACCAGGCTTGGAATATCGTCTTACTGTTCAGCATTTGATTAAAGTCAGTAATCAGACCAAGGGTCTTATGTGGACCTATTCCCCATTCACAGTAGGTTTGCCTACTGAGAAGGAAGATATGTTATGGCTTAAGCCATTTTGGATTTGGAAACAACGAATTGGAGTATGGGGACATATTACGTGTTTCAGTGGAGATGCATAATTTTGTCCGGATAAAGGAATTCGGAATCCAGCTTGTGTACGAGCCGGAAAGACCTTCTAGCCAGAATAATGTTGTTGCTGGAGATGTGTCACTGTCAGCATCAGAGTACCAAATGTGGACAGGAAAATACTTTCTCAGTAATCATGGGCACCGTACTCATCAAGCTCAATTCCGAAAGAGACAGGAGAATCCAGCACACATTGAATTTTCATTTGGGCCAGAGCGTCTATTTCATAAATTATTTAAGGTCCGAGAACCATTGGAAACTATTGTGAAACTTAGAGCACCTCCAGCAGATTCCCTATCTGCTTTTCCTCACCCATTTTGGCTAAAATAAAGAGAAACCTCCTCGGTTCTTTATTCAGCATCATTCATTTATGGTTGGAAGGAAGGATCAGCATCAGTTTTCTTGGTGAGTATCGTCCCTTTATTCTTTCTTGTTATCTCTTTCTCAATGTATACTCGTGGCTTTGTTGGATTTGTTGCTCTTTGCTTATTGTGTTTGATTTGTTAATTGAATGGAATATATTAAACAAAAAGAGGGGAAAGCTCTATGAACTCAGAACAACAAGGTCATAAGACCAATCAAGGAAACAAAACCGGAACAGTCCTCATGAGTTAGCAGAAGAGGTTTGAAAAACCCTATAGAGCAAAACCAACTTGAGCGTAACAGCAGTGGGACTTCGGGGGTGTATTCAATTAGGATTCTTAGAGAGTTTCAAGGAATTTAAATCTATAGAATTTGAGATAGTTTGAGAGAAAAAAAAAATGAATTCTCAGAGATTTTGAGTGAATTAATTATAACTTCCAGAGAATTCACATGAATTGTGAAAGAATTCTATATATGGGGTTAGAGAATTGCAGAGAATTTGATCAACAATTTCCTTCTCATTATGAGCCAAAATTTTCATCCTACTAATACAAATCACAATACCAAGTTCACATGCAATGTTTTCAACTAGCTATCAAAGTGAAAAAGAAACCCAATCGATTAATGTCAAAATAAACTAACTATCAAAGTTTTTGAAAAAAAGCCCAACAATTTTATATAAACATAACTACTCAAAGCAAAAAGATTTATCCAGCGTTCAACCATGTTGATATCCAATTGTCCTTAAAAGCTTAAGTTGATTGGAAACAAATGCAACAATGCATGAAGAATAACAGACCGACAACAAGTCTATACAGATATACAACCTTGACCCAATTTGGCCCTACTTCCACATTAGTTGTCATCGTGCCATGTAATTTCATACACACATTAAGCAACTTACGTCATGTGAAGTTCGAGGTTATATCGCTGCTCCCCAGGTGTTAATATAATTGTATCCAGTTCTACTAATAGGTCGTCGAGTCAATGGACGTTCAATATGATCATCATGTATAATAACCATTAACGCATTTAGCACTTGAACTATTGCTTGTACTGCCATCAATAGTAACTTAATGGCTTTATGATATTCTTCATCTTTTCTTTCCATTTCCTCTTCAGACATGTTTTCAAACATTATATAAAGAATCAC